CGCGCCCCCAAGCGAGCGGGGGTGAGCAGGGTGGGAGTCTTTCTTAGGGTGGCCTCAGCCTCGCTGCAGATTCCCCAACCTCGGGCCTAAGGGGGCTTAGAGGAGGGAGGGGAAGCCGAGCGCAAAATAAATAGGGAGGGATGCAGGAAGCAGAGGTGACCGGGGAAACGGTGAAGTGCCAGGGCCGAGAGAGGGTTTGCGCCAGACAAAAAAGGCCACACAGCGAGGGGACAGGAGGGAGGAAGAGAGGGAGAGATGGGAGGTACTCGTGGAGGTAGGAATCCTTGAAATCACAAAGAGGAAATGGGGTGAGAGGAAGAAAAAAGGCCCATTTTTTTTAAGGGGACATAACCAAATGACAAAAAAAAAAAAAGGAACCTAAAAAACTATGGCTTGAGTCTGTCTTTACCAAAGCCTGCTCTATCCGCTCAGCTGCAGCTTCCAAACTAAAAAACAAACTTGAGGTAAATTCTGGGTGAAGATAGCTGGGCTGCTGTAAAGCCCTTTCTGCCCTCCGATTTGGGCTCTCAATTTACTCTGCAGAGAGTAGGCCACCAGTACTGCAAAATTCTGAAATGGAGCCGAAAAGAAAAGACAATGCCAGGAACATAAGAGGTGGGAAACAAGGGGATTGGGAGAGGTGGAGACTGGAAAACGATCTGGCAGGTAAGAACCAAGAGGAGACCCAGATGGACAAGAGAGAAGAGAAACAGAAAATGTGGTGGGACAGGAGGTGAATCAAGGGCAACCAACAGTCCTGCTCACCTGCACGAAATGCCTCAGAAATGTCCTGTAACAGACCGTGGAAAAGAGTAAACAGGCAGAGATGTTTCAAATGAGGGCTTAGGAGATAGAGCACACATCTCCTGGCCCCTTATGCCCTTTCCTGTTTCAGGTTTCACCTGAGAAATAGGAAAGAGAGGCAAACAGCAGTAGCTGAGGAAGTTAGGAAAACAATGTTTTCACAAACTAACATGCTCTTTCATAGGCAGAGTGGTTTGCTGTGGACAGGTCTGACTTCCTTTTTGTTTCAGATGATAATTGACTATCAAATCCCATCTTTAAACTCAACAGAGCAAAGGCAAACTCAGCAAGAACGAGAAATAAGCACAAGTCAGGGTTTAAATGTGCCAAGTAGCATTTGGTGCCTCACTTAAAACACACACACATATATACACACTGGCACGTGCATACACATACACACACACACACACACACAGCCCCCACTCCACCCATCTCTCATCTCTCTGCATTTACATCTTACAAATACACACTGTAGAATTTTTCTGGCATATTGCTGTCAAAGCATGGTCAATTGCTACTTCAAGATTATTAAGGATATGATTATATGGTTGTTGCAGAGTATTATATTTTCCCTCAGAAAGCTAAGAATAGAAGATTCTTTGGCTTTGTTGGTTTGTTTTTAATGTATCCTCCATATAAGGAGGATTTTATTTTAAAGCCCTTTTGAAAAATAAAAACTTTATTTGTCAATTTCCTTCCAAGCAAATATTATTTATTCTACTCTATAAAAAGAAACCTGTTCAAATTAGGAAAACAGGCAAGGAAATCTTACTGTTTCTTAGCCTCTTCTTTCATCTCCTTTAAAATCCAAATCTTAGTTCTGCAGGGGTTTTTCTCCCTTCAAATTCTCATTCCTTTATAAATGAAACATTTTGCAACACAAATGGCTAAAGTGTTAGAGGGATTCACATTCCCAAAAACATCCCTGGAAATAACCAAAATTTTTACCGTTGAGGTTGCTATACACAATTAAATCTCTCTTCCAGAGAATGAATCATGAAAATAAATCCTGAATACTTATCAAATAAGTGCTTTGTATCATATATCACCTTAAATCTTAGTTTGAATGTTTGTATACCTGTACCTTGTTCTACAAAAGAGAAAATGATACGGGTCAAATATTAGAATCAAAGAGACTATGACCACATAATAAATAACCTATCAACAGGAACCCACCGCACACATGAATGTCTTATGGATGGACACATATTAGGAAGAATCGTGCTTTTTAAAGCTCATTTGGTGAAGCATATATAAAAAGACTATCACAACAAGATAATCAGTTTGTCAGAATAAAGTGTTTCCAAATGCTGGAAACTTCTACATTGCCAACTCATCACATTATTTGCAAACTATACTCCTCTCTCCTTCCCACAATTATGACCACCAGAAAACAGGCTCAACAGAATGAAGGGCAAGCTAATTTCCTACTACAAACGTTTTTTGTTTCAGTACAGCCTTAGCCCCAGAAGACCTGAAGCCAACTTTCAACATTCACTACTGAACTTAGAGGCAAACAGTAAATATCCTAAAAATGAAGAGAACAAGGTCTAGTCCTTACGTTCAATGCAGAAGAAAACCAAACCCTTCCATTTCCCTGTCTTAGGACTCCTTTTCAGCATAAAAATGTTAAGTAATTTTACAGAAGACATACAGTAGCCCCCAAATGATCTGTATGACGTCTTTGTGCAGGCCTTTGCAAGAACAGGCAACTGTAAGGCAGACACACTGGGATGAATTTTCATAACTCTTAACTCAATAATGGGTCCCAGACGCATACAGACTTCACTGCCTATCTGTATAAAAGCAGCCATGCCTGTGAGGTGGTGGGTCAGTGTGTGAGTAATATTTCACACATCCTGGTTCAGGAACAAAAAGAAAATGTCACCAATAATTACCTTCTAAAGAGAGTCACTAATTGACAGGTATTTCTCTAAGTACATAAGCCTAAGCAAGTCCTGACTCAATCTTTTCAGGGCAACAGGAATAAAAATTGGTGTTTCCCACTGCTATTTATATTGCCTTGGTGTTGTGAAATCACAGAACTAAAGTACACAGAGCAACTTGATAAGATCACCCTTAAGAACTCAGAAACACTACCTTCAAATGAAGGGCTCAGTTAATACAAATTTGTTAATTTGTATTAACAAATATTTTTTTGTGGAATTGTCCCTTCCAGAGGCTGACCTAAATATATAGTCAAAAGAAAACTTCAGTAGAGGTCAAGGTTCTTACATATGAACTTCACAAACCTCAGAACTAGTATTATAGGAAATATGCCTTGTAAATACCAGCGAGTACTTCACTTGGGAACCTCAAATGAAAAAGCTGTCCTGTGTGTGGCTGCTGCTACAGATTTATCTGACCATCAACCAGGTGTCACCTTGTGTGCCCTGACCTCCCCCCTCCCTGAGTACACTCCCTAAGGAAGCAGTGGGGAGGAGAGGGAAGGGGTGGAGGCAGAGGAACAGAATTCCAGCACAAGGTTAAAAGCAGTTTCGTCTTCTGACTTTGTCACCAGGAAACGCACCTGCTGTGATGTCCAGTTGAGCTACTGGAGGTCCTCTGGCTGCTTCTGGAAACTGATGCTGGCATAGGCGCTTAAATCCTCGCTGGAGCGGCTGGTGGAGCTGCTCTCGCCGCTGCCCAGAGGCTGATGGGGGGTCGGGGGTGGAGGAGGCTGCGGTTGAGGGGGTCTCTCCTGAGGGCGCTGTTTGAAGTCCTTGACCAGATCCAGGTCTATGTAGTTAAGACCATTCTCCAAACCCCCGGCTGCCCCGCACACTTGAGCCAGCTCCTTGGGGGCTCCCCCCAGCTCCCCAGGCCTCAGCCATACGTTCTCAAAGGAAGCAGAGCTGTGGCGCTTCACATCCTCAGCGCTGCTGCTGCCACCACCACTGCCCCCGACTGCAGCCCCGCCTCCGAAGGGCAGGGTGTTGCCCGCCCGAGTGGCACTGGGCGTTGAGGAGAAGGTCTCGGAGCTGTGCCTCCTCCTGCACCCTTGCGGGTCGGCACGGATCACTTTGGCACTCTGGTTACGGCTGGGACTGAGGTTCACCCGCGTGAAGGCGCTCGGGCCCCCAGGTCCCTGCGGGCCCCCCAGCAGGGACGAGCAGGCCGCCAGCTCCCCTGCTCCTTGAGGCGCTGCAGGGGGAGCAGAGGTCGTGGAGGATGAGGAGGGCGCGGCCGCTGTGGCCCCGGGAAGGCTGGCCTCCTCCACAACGATGCCGGTCCGCATATCGGCGTAGCTGATGGGGGCAACCGGCGAGGTGTCCACGTAGCTCTGATGGGGGCAGCCCATCTGCATGGTCATATAGTCACCCCGGCTGCTAGGCACTGCCCGGGTCGGCCGGCACATGCTAGCAGCTCCGGGGGGGGCGGGGCCCACCCTCCCGGGCTGGACCCCTGCGCTCTCCTGCCAGGTGGCCCTCCTGCCGGGCCCCAGGTCCATGTTCATGTACTCTTCCGCGCCAGCCTCTTCCTCTCTGGGAGCTGGCTGGAGCTGGGATGGGCACCTGACAGAAGGCGAGCTGTGGGGAGCCACCGGGCCAGATAAGTAGCCGGGCTGATCGCTCCCGAATTCAATATTCACATATTCCCCTGGGCTCTTGGGCTCCGGAGGGTGCAGCAAGGGTGGCGGCGGCTGCTGCTCTCTGGCCCGAGGTAAGGTGCTGGCCTTGGGATCCCCCAGGGACAGCCTCGTGGGCCGGGCCAGGCGGTTGTTGGTCTGGGCAGCTGTGTCCACCTTTCGAGGCAGATGGGGCTGCAGGACCTGATGGTGGAGATGCGGGAGGCTGGGCTCCAGCCTAGCCCCACAGTATCCCCCGCCCAGGCTGTCGCTGCTGGTGGAGGAGGAGGAATCTTCTGCCGCTGTGGCATAGAGGAGTCGACCAGAGCTGGAGGAGAGGCGGAGGTGCTGGTGCCGGGCGCTCTCCTCCAGCTCTCCCGGGCGCTGGGTGTGCTTAAAGGACCTTGGCAAGGAGTAGTAGGAGAGGACTGGCTTGTGCTGGGGATCCTCAGGGCCATAGTAGCAGTCGGAAGGGCTGCTGGTGTTGGAATCCCCCACTGGCGACATGTTCATGTAGTCACCTGTACAAGACAAGAGCTTGCCACTACTGCTCTCCACGGGGAGTTTGGGGTGTGGCAGGGCGTGAGAGTGGTGGCCTCCTACCCCGTTTGTCCACATTTTGCCATAGCTGCTCCCAGAAGGGGCTGCACCGCTGCCGCTGCCGCCACTGCCAGGCCCACCTCCAAGGTCAGGAGAGCAGCTGCCGCTTGGGGACATCATCATGTAGCCATTGGGGTCCACTCTCTGAGGATGGCGTCTGATGGGGTTGATGATCTGTTGTGGGGCAGACACGCTCTTGGGGCTCATGGGCATGTAGTCTCCACTGCCCTTTCGGCTGCCGGGCACTGGAGCCACCCCTGGGGACATGGGCATGTAGCCGTCATCAGTGTGGAGGCTGGAGGTGTCTGGGCGGTGGTGGCCCCCACGCCGCTCCAGGGGGTGCATTTCTAGACCCTCCTCAGGGTAGGAATGGGTGGGCACGAAGGCGGAGTGCCGGTAGCTGGGCACTCGGCCTCCACTGCCACCTCCTGGCGGGTAGGCAGGCATCATCTCTGTATATTCCTCAATGGAAGCCACAGAGGACTGGGATGGGGTCTTCTGGTGGGAAATAGTTGGGGATGTGCCAGCAGAGTGAGTTCGCTTTCGGAACCGATTATCCAGATCCGCGGCACTGGCTGCTTCATCTCCAGTCAGGGCTGGGCTCGTCCCCAAACCAGCTCCTGGGATGTAGCGGTGACCGTTGCCACCCCGAGGCAAAATGTAGTGACCGTTGGGGGCAGCGAGGGTGGAGGGCCCCTTGCCTCCCATGCAGATGTAGTTGCTCAGCTCCTCCTCACCGCGGGCCGGTGGGGTGTGGCCCAGGGAATCCGGAGTGACACTACGAAAGGAACTTCGGAAATCGCAGGGACTGGAGCCATACTCATCTGAGGAGATGAAACCGCCATCGCTGGGGGAACCGGACACAGAAGCACTGGACCGCCGCGGGAAGAGACAGTCCGAGGTGGATCCGTGGCCACTGGTGCTGCTAGACGACAGACTGACCGGGCTGGTGGCGGAAGGTGAGCAGCGAGAAGAAGGCATGGGGATAGAGCGGCTGTGGTTGAGAGGCGGGTGCAGCCGGGAGCTGCCTCGATGCCGGTGGGCGTGGGTCCTGTTGGTGCTAGGACTTACAGGACTACCGTCCACAGAGGCGGGGCGAGACATGGTGCCTTCGCCATCACTGGAGGCACGGACGCGGAAGGAGCCCTGCTTCCCGCCCACCAAACTGGCAGGGGAGGTGGCAGTGATGCTCTCGGTGCGAGAGCGGCGGGTCAGCCCTACCTGGCTGGGTGGAGGGTTGTTGAGGTGGTGCCTGCGCAGGGGGACACTGATGGGGTTGGAGCAGTTGGAGGAGGACTGGCTCTTGCTTCGAGGTCGAAACTCATCGCTCATGGCCCGCATGGCCTCCAGGATTGTCTCGTGCATGTTCTGGGCCACCACAGAGTCATCCACCTGCATCCAGAACTCCCCGGGTCCCGTCACTGCGGAACGGCCCACCTCGATGAAGAAGAAGTTCTCGGAGTGCCCACAGCGCCTGATGTTCATCAGCTGCAGCACCACAGCCGCCGCCTCCGAGTTCAGCTTCACAAAGCTGATGGTCTTGCTGGTCAGGCAGAGGCGGTAGATGCCAATCAGGTTCTTTGTCTGACCCAGGCCCTTGGGTTTCAGGATCACCTGCCAGACCTCCTTGAAGGCGGGTCCTGGGGGCACGTCCCCGTAGCTCAAGTCCTCCCCAGCCTCGCCGAGGCCAGAGCTGCCACTGCAGCTGCCCCCGCCGCCTCCCGCCCCGGGGGCCGCGGCCCCGTCGTGGTGGCCCTTGGCTCGGTTGTGCAGCTGCAGGAGGGCCTGGTACCAGCTGTCCTGCTCCGCCTCGCTGTCCGCCGCGATGGCAAAGTGCTCGTCCCGGGTGTAGAGGGCTACCAGGTGCTTGTTCTTGGAGTCCGCCCGCTTGTTGATGTTGAAGCAGCTCTCGAGGGGGATCGAGCGTTTGGGGGCGCTCGACTTGTGCCGCCACTTCTTCTCGTTCTCGTAGTACTCGAGACGCGCCGGGCCCCCCGCCTCGCTGGCCGCCCGCAGCACGAAGAAGCGCTTGTGCATGCTCTTGGGTTTGCGCAGGTAGCCCACCTTGCGCACGTCCGAGAAGCCGTCGGTCTCGGGAGGGCTCGCCATGCTGCCGCCGCCG